CCATCCGTCTGGAGGCGCGCGTTCATTGCCACCCGTTATAAGCTATAAAGCGGGCACGCATTTATGCTGTGAAAAACTCACATACATGCTGATGTGAACTGGAGCGCGCTGATGGTCACGTTGTGTGCAGCTGCTCGGTGTAACGCTCGGAAGCGGATGCACATATGAGCCGACGCGCCCTGAGGGTCGTGTGTGTGCGTCCTTACGCAACGCTTTAAGCCAGGATTGCCGCGGGGGCGCACGTTGGCACTGGTGCGGTAGGGAGGCACCGCGCGCCATCGGTGGAGCGGGGTTACCACTGGCCCGGTCTGCAGAAAACCGTTCATTGTTTGCTGCGGGTCACGTGAACTTTTGAGTGATACCACGAGCTGCAATATTAATTCAGACAAAACCCCTTCTTCGAGGATAGATGAACTGAGCCGCTGAAGGCTTGTGGGGCTGCTGACGCCGCGGGAGCGCGCGTTGGCACTGGAGCGGTCAGGAAGCAGCGCGCGGCATCGGTGAAGCGAGGCTACCCCTAGCTCGGTCTGCAGAAAAAAACGTTCATTCTTGGCTGCAAGTCACGTGAACTTCAGAATGATTCCATGCGCTGCAGTATTAATTCAGAAAACCTTCTTCGAGGATAAAGAAGCAGAGCCGCTGTGAGGCTTGTGAAACTGCTAACGCTGCGGGAGCGCGCGTTGACACCGCTGCAATGACAAAACGTGTGTCGCTTCTGCCGGGAGCGAGATACGTTGCTGAGCTCGTACCGTGGTCTCAACGTGAACGTTGACGTGAACGGCGGGCACTGAGAGCTACATGTGCGCTTTCATGCCGCGGGGGCGCGCATCGGCACCGCTGACAGTGAATGAAAAACAACCTTAAAAGGCTCATTCGTGATGAGTGTGTGTGATGGAGCCGCTTGTCAGATAAACCATGCTGACAGCCTGGCTAGGAGACACTTCATCAAAAATGATGTTATTTTACAGTGTCATCAACACACCTCCAGCGACCCGACACCTGATTACCTTCCGTTGAGCTCTGTTTGTTGTCCTGGAGGGCCCCCTGTTGGCGAAGTCCGGGAAAAAAAATAAACTGCCGGCTGCCGGGGACATCTGACGGGAGGGGCTGGCGTAGCAGAGCTGGGGGAGGCGTTGAGCAGCCGTTGAGCAGCCGTGGAGCAGCCGTGGAGCAGCTGTGGAGCAGCTGTGGAGCATCTTGAAGTGTTCTCTAGCTGATGAAAAGAGGATCACCAACGGACTCCTGCATTCCTCCTGAGAGGAAGGTGGAGTGACGGGCCAGGAGAGCTTCTGGGACCCCGTTCTCTGGCTGCGATGCGGGGCGGCAGACAGCAAAAGAGGCGCACCGGTTGAGGATGACGTCAGCTGACCTGTAGACTGAGCGTACTGCAGGGACTGGCAGCATTGTTAGCGGCGGCCGCTGCGAGAGCGGAGTGAGCCGAAGGACAGAGGGCCACCGTCTCTTCTCGCCTCTGAACGTGTACGCCAACAGCGTAATGTGTTGTTCGCTGCGGCCGTGTGGAACACATGCTGGTGAGCTCAGTTGGAGAGCGGTGTCACCGTCTCGGTTATGCTAACTGGAGGCACGGGACGCTGGTCCATCTCGAACATCTTACTCCAATGAAGCCTCCATCAGGCTCGGCTCCAGAGGGCACGGAGGGACTTTCCGCTCAGTGAACCCCTGCTCTGGAGATGGGTGCGGACTGTGGAGACTGGCTCCCCCAATCTACCAGGAAAGAACCCGTCTGTGGCCTCGCCCGTAGGACGTCCTGTTGGGAGCACGAGGCCATATGGATCAAGACGGTGAGCCGGAATGGAGCCCAGTAAACAACCTTCCCGCCGGATCATCCGAACTGGCGGGAAAGGCGTAGGACGTAAAAAAGGGTCCTTTCATGTCAGCCTCCTCCTGGGTTACGCCGGGCAACCACTGAGGGCGCCATCAGACGGGAGCGGTGTGATCGCCGATGCGAAAACGAGGTGGGATGGGGTGAGCATACACTCAGCCCCCCTCCACCGACACTATGCTCCCCAGGAGGGAATGAGCAGCGGGGGCTGCAGCTGAGCGCGCCTGTCCCGGAGGAACCATCCGATTCGCTCCGAGGGTCGGCGATAAGAGGAAAAAATACAAGATGGCGTTGTCCAGCGTGTAGTGACCTGTCACTGGGAAATATTCCTCAGCGCTTACCTTGGAATAGGACTGCTCGTCATCTTCTCCTCGGGGAGGAGAACTCACCGGACGACCGGAGGTCGACTGCCGGGCCAAGCATCCTTAACAAAGGTTGGTCATCTACACAATTTTCCTTCTTTGTTCTTCTGACAGTGCTATTTTAGCTCGCTGAAGAAAAAATGGGAGCCGATTTCCCGCTCCTAACGTAATTTATACGGACCGGGTGGGGCCCATACAGCAGGTGGGCGTGGACTAAATTTTTTCAGTGCTTATGCTGCGCATAATGGGATAAACCCACTAAAGCGAAGGCCTTAAAGGGCGAAGCTTATACGACATAGAACATTAGTTCAGGCGGCGCAGTTTCTCTTTCTTCTTGAACGAATCCATTCCACTTGATTAATAGGAGAATATTCAATCCACTAAAACTCCACTCCAGGTTTTCCTGGTTACCTCCAACTCTCCACCGTCCCTTTCTGCCTCTTCCCTCGGCAGAAAATTCACACAGTTGAAGGAGGTGGAGGTACCTGTGTTACTCGCTCACCAGTTTAGCAGCTTAGTGTGGGCAGTGGTTGACCAGGGGGTTGATCATAAACATGTGTTCATGTTAGGAGGATGTTTGAGAGCAGCGCTACGTCTGTAGCATGTTAGCTGAGCAGTAACTGTGACGCTGTAAGACGCTGCAGGTGTAAGAGACGCTGTGTGTTCAGGTGCATTAAAGTTGAAATGTCTTTAAAAGCCCACACCTTATTGTCCTCAAGCTCCGTGAGAAACATCATTTAGATGAGTAGTGTTGAACACAAGTAAAGTCCAGTGGTGATGTTTTTTATTTCTCTATAAAGACAAATAGTGCTGACCTGAGGCTCTGTATTAAAGTGTATTAAAGTTAAAATGATTTTAAAATCCACAGATGAATTTACACAAACTTGGTGAGAAACATGCTTTAAATGTGTGGAATTAAAGGAAATCTAGGTGAAATGCTGCTTTTTTGTTCACTAGTGAACACCTTTTTTTATGTGCGCCCACGTGCACGCGCACACACACACCTACACACATCATTGTGTCCCCCCAACATTACGGATGCTTCTGACGCCCTTGCTACACACATTCATACAGCACTCTACTACACACACATTCATACAGCACT